AGTCCGTGATGTGAGTCTCTCTCTCTTCTTGGTACTGCTCAGACTTGATTTTCTGGGTGCTGCCTGCACACCCCCAGCAGTTGTCCAGCCTGAGGGCTTGTGTGGGCCCGAGTTAGGAGAGGCAGGGGACAGGGATGCCCAAGTCAAATCCAGACACCCCCTCCAGGTGTGCCCCACCAAATCCAATAGTGCTGCCAGACTTCCTGACCAACAGTGTAAGTCTAATTGAAGCAACTAAAAAGGGCAAAAGGGCTTCCCTGGTGGTGCAGTGATTGAGAGTCTGCCTGCTGATGCAGGGGACACGGGGTTCGTGCCCCGGTCCAGGAAGATCCCACATGCCGCGGAGCGGCTGGGCCCGTGAGCCATGGCCTCTGAGCCTGCGCGTCTGGAGCCTGTGCTCCACAACGGGAGAGGCCACAATGGTGAGAGGCCCGCGTACCGCAAAAAAAAAAAAAAAAAAAAGGACAAAGAGCCCTGGCAGTCCAGTGGTTAGGACTCGGCGCTCTCACTGCCTTGGCCCCGGGTTCAATCCCTGGTCGGGGAACTAAGATCCCGCAAGGTGCGCAGCGTGGACAGAAAAGAAAATAAATAAATAAATAAAATTTTTAAAAGGACGAAGAACCCGATCCCTGGCCCTTGTGAGCTGCGGGGGTTAGACTACTTGGGAACATTATTTGTCCTTTTCAGCACGTCCCTGCAACGTTAGGAAGGATGCTGACTGCCCCCATTGCATCATCTCACTTCATGCTTTCTGGAAGGACTGAGGTCTCAGAGCTGGTTGTTAGCAGAGCCAAATGCAAACACAAACAGCCTAATTAAAAAGCCACCAAGCTGGGGACTTCCCTGGTGGTCCAGTGGGTAAGACTCCCCGCTCCCAATGCAGGGAGCCTGGGTTTGATCCCTGGTCAGGGAACTAGATCCCGCATGCATGCCACAACTAAGAAGCCTGCATGCTGCAACTAAGAAGTCTGCATGCCTCAACTGAAGGAAGATCCCACATGCCGTAAATAAGACCCAGCGCAGCCAAAATAAATGAATAAATAAATAAATAAATACTTTTAAAATAATACATTTTAAAAAAAAAGGAAAGCCACAAAGTTGTCCTGAGTAATCATCCCCACGTTGTGTAGGGCTCAGTGAAATCAGTGGAATATAACTGTAGTTGTCCTTGGCCTTAAAACTCTTCCACCAAGTCTCTGAATGGCTCCCTGCTGGTTTAATAGGCTCCCCATACAGAAGCCAGGGGGCCTTCGTGAGCCCCGATTTTGAATTTTCCAGGTAGGCAACTGTATCTTTGAATTTTATTTCCTTAGATACAGAGAGCCTCCTAGTCAAGTTCTGTTCAACACTCTGCTCAGCCTTGGTGGTTATGACCACGCGTTTTCAGTACGACAAGGGAAATGGCCATTAAAGTCCCAGAACTGCTGCATATCTTACTCATTCCTACTGGGGAGGTGTTTCTGGCTTTAGCTCACCAGATCCAAGTAGAAGTCCATGCTGTTTGGCGCCTGAGTGGGTGTCACGGGGCTTCTGCCGCAGCCCGGTGCCTGCTGCCACGCGAGGCCTTGTGGTGCACGTGAATCGCGCCTGATTCTGCCCTGCCTGCACTGGCTGCCGTGACACCTGATTCTGCCGTTCTGTCTCACTCCCCAGCATGTTGTCAGGGAGGCAGGGTGATGTAGAGGAAAGACCCTTCCGTACCAACCTAGTGAAGTCTTTCAGAAAAAAAAGACATCTAACCCTCCACAGTATTCTATCTTGATTTTCTTATTTAGCCTGTTTCTCGCCTTCATTCGGGCCTCTGGCTCAGTCTGCAGCCTCGGAATGGCTGGCAATCAGGACAGAAGCCTGGTTGGGTGCCTGCCTGTCCAGGCTTCTCCCAAGCGTGGATGCTCTGGGCCGCATGTGCGTGCATGTCGTCGTGACCAGCGCCTGCTCTGCGCTGTCCTGACTCGGCGGCTAGAATCTGTGTTGACGCGGGTGAAGAGCAGCCTTTGCCAGCCTGCTGGTTACTGGCTGCTGAGAGCCGGGGTGGCTGTGAGGCCTGGCAGTTCCTCGAGTACCCTTGGTCACTGGACTTGGCCGGCTGGCTGGACGCCTGCTGGTGCGCAGGGACAACATAAGTTTTGCAGTTTAAGGGAAGAGATTGTTTTTGTCCTGGATGGAGAAAGCCCAGGTGCGTGCTGGTGCTCGGGGCCCTTCAAATAAGTTTTAGGGCTTCCCTGGTGGCGCAGTGGTTGAGAGTCCGCCTGCTGATGCAGGGGACACGGGTTCGTGCCCCGGTCCGGGAGGATCCCATATGCCGCGGAGCGGCTGGTCCCGTGAGCCATGGCTGCTGAGCCTGCGCGTCCGGAGCCTGTGCTCGGCAACGGGAGAGGCCACAACAGTGAGAGGCCCGCGTACCGAGGCCCCAGCGGGGGGAGGCCCGCATACCGCAAAAAAAAAAAAAAAAAAAAGTTTTAGAGGAAGATGGCATATATGATTGCCTGTTACATCTACCTTAGGGCCGATTGTGGGCATTTCATGCCTTTTGATGCACGGCCATGCACTGTCCGTTGCCTTTTCTAACTCAGGGCTGATTCCCAGAAGGCGCATGTAATGCTCCACGATGGAGAACCGGCCAGAGAGGAGTTCCAGGCCGTATCTCATGCACGGTGTTTGTGACATTACAGGGACGCATGGTCTGACACCAGGAGTCTTTCTGTTCTCAGTAGACCAGGGAATCACTCTTGTCTCACGGCTTCTAGTCTGAATTTGAAAAATGTTTCCGTAGGCTCGCTCTTACTTCTTTTTGAATTTCAGATAGAATTCTTTCATGAAAACGTGGGATTTGGCGACACAGGTAGAGCGGGCATCTGTAATTCTGATCGGTGCTAAAATCTAAGGGAGTACATGTCCCAGTGTGTGTAGTTTGTTTGGCGTGAATTATTTCTTTTTGTCTCCACTACTTTACATTGTCTGTAAAACGACAGTGTTCTGTGCAGACACCCCCTTAGCGAACTGAAGTCGGACCTTTCATTCAATCTTTTTTTTCCCTCCACCTTTATCGAGGTTTCAGTGACAACTCAAAATCGTACATACTTCCGGTGTACAGCTGGATGGTTTGACGTGCCTAGGCACGCCCCGCCCCATACCCCTCGCACGTATTTTCTTGATTGTGCCCTGGAGCCTAGAGACGTGGTGTCAGAGGTCCCCACGCGGGACGTTCAGGACCCTCTGGAAAGGGAGTGCTCCCTGGGCATCGCCTCAGGCCACAGGGGTAGGGTGGGCATCCGCACCCCATGGGGGTGGCCCGGGCTCTCGGTCACCCCGTGTCGTTCACCACCTCAGAGATCTCGTTCCGCGTGTGGCAGTGCGGCGGCAGCCTGGAGATCATCCCCTGCAGCCGCGTGGGACACGTGTTCCGGAAGCAGCACCCCTACACCTTCCCCGGCGGCAGTGGCACCGTTTTTGCCCGGTAAGTGGCCGAGAGGCCGAGCAGGGCCCAGAGCAGGGCTGACCGTGGGCTGTGTGGAAACGTGTCCTCTAAGGGGCCGCCGCTCGGCAGTGACGAGGGCCACTGTGGGGACTGAGGACAGCGGCATCCCGCTGAGTGACAGCTGCTGGTCTCAGCAGGTTCCATGGGGCACGAGGTCACGTGCAGGACAGCCTCAGAGCGGCACAGCTGTCCTGATGGAGAGCAAACTGGGGTGGCCGGGGGTGAGGGTGGGGCGCAGGGCGGGGTAGGGCCAGTGGGACTGGTCACCGAACCGTGTGCCGAAAACGTGTTATGGGGAGATAGGAGAGAGGAGTGCTTGGACTTTTTAAATCACGTTACCCTTCAAGGTGCAGTATATGAAAAGTGCTAAAGGCAGCCACACAAATTCAAGCCCGAGACTCACTGGGCCGTAGAGGCAGATAACACACAATAGATAATAGGTAGATTTTTGCAAACGTGAAGACACCAAATGAAGAGTTTTCTGAAGAAAAAACGGCGAATTACCAGTGCGGGGGACGCCTTTTTTTCCTCAGGAATTCTTTCAGATGCGAAAGACAGAACCGTGCACAGGCCGGCCAGCCTGGCCCAGGGAGACGGGG